GGACTTGGAGGGGTGGGATTGGTTTGTCGCAAATTTTAAATAAGGCATGATGATGAAATTTTAAGAATGCGGCATGAGGCTTGCGGCTTGATCGTGGGATTTGAAAGGGGAGGAAAAGGGGTTGCTTTGGGGGTTTGGAGAGCAATCGGCTGGAAATCTGGGAAGTAATTGGACTCTAAAATTCTAATGAGATTAAAAAGCGGGAAGGGAGACTTTGGCGATGAGTGGAGCCTCGATCGGTCATATCAGCACTCTAATATTTGTTCTTCTGAAAAATTAAAAATGGTATTAGAGGTTGTTTTAGAAATTAATAATATTGGGTGAAAAAATAGCATTTCAACTTTTTAGCTTTTTGTGGTGGTGGAATATAATGTTAGTCGGGAAAAAGACATTGGGTGGGAACATCAAAGTAAAATGGGCCTCACTAATTGCGTATTAAAGTTGTGTACATAATTTTGTTCGATAAATAAATAAATAAAAAATAATAATAATAAAAAAAGATGTTATTAGCACTTTAAAAAAGTCATAGTGCATTTCTGACAAGTATATTTTTTTTCAAAAAATAAAAAGTTTAGGATGCACGACAACTTTTTTAGTGCCAATAACATCACACATAAAAGACAATTAAATTTATTAAAAAAAAACTTTTAAATATGTCCTTAAATTTAAATTGTCATTTTTTATGAATCAAATTGTCATTTAAGTATCTGTATATAGGAATAAAATTGTAATTAACTTTTTCCTTTTGTAGAAGGATGTGGGGACATAGGTTTGATAGATCATTGATGGATAGGGTATTAAAAAAACTTTGGCATAATTGGCTTTTAAAGTTGCCAAAAATAAAATAAAATTGACAAAAAAAAAAAAGTAAGAGTCACCAAACAAACTCTTTACGCATGGGAAAAAAAGGCTAACTAAATTTTATACTTGCAAGGTTTGAGATGATTTTTTCTTCTTCTTTTGGTAATGAGAATGCATTTAATTAAACAATTTAAAAAAAAAAACTAATGAAAATGACTTGAAAACTTTGAATTTTAACGATAATGACAAAATAAAAGGTAAAGTGAATAGAACCATAATTAACTTTTTAGTGTAAAAATATGATTTTTCGTTAAAATAAACAGTATCAGAATCTTTTCGTTAAATTTTTTTAAAAAAAAAACCCAAAAACAAATAGCAAAAAGAAAGTTACATTAGCTCAAAACCAAGTCTAAAGCTCTAGAAGCAGAAGCCCATAATACTTGAAACCCTAACATCAAACTCTACACCCACACAGTTGCCGCTGCCGCCACTACAAAACCCCGATCGAAGGGGGTTGGGAAGACCGCAATCGAAGCAAAACCAAGATTAGTCCTTAAGTTTCATTTTTCTCACTTTGCCCCCAAATTGTATCAATTTATACCTTATAGATATTTAAACGTCTAAATATTCATTAAGTTGACGAGTTTCTTAGTCAATATGGTGCAGATATTACTTACATGTCATCATAATTACGAGTTTCATGCTCACCATGTCATCAATTTAATGAAGATTATATAAATCGTTAGACAAAGTCACAAAGTATAAATTAAGACAATTTTAAAACTTTGAAAGAGGCACTATAAAAAAATGGAGTTTTAAATAAAAACTCACGGTACTGTTTATTTTAACAAAAAATCACATTTTTAGACTAAAAAAATCAATCATGATATTATTCACTTTACCCTTTATTTTATTATTATCATTAAAACTCAAATTTTTCAAATTTTTCCATTAGTTTTCTTATAAAAAAAATTAAAAACACCTCAGATGAAGAGGTGCGTAACTCTTCATACAAGTTTTACAACTCACTGTCTCCCTGAAACCCTTTGTCTCTGTCTCATTGGAGTTTGTGCTTTCTGTAAATTTCTGTTTCTTTTGAAAGACAGACGGCCATGGACAAGTCACAGCAGAAGCAACTCTACCTCTTCTACTGTGCCGAGTGCGAAGACCTTGCTCGCCAGGTCGCTTCTCAGTCCGACCACATCATCCTCCAGACCATCAAATGGAGGTCCCCCACCTCCCCTCTCTCTCTCTCTCTCTCTAACATGCTCTCTCATGTTTTTTTCCCCTTTATTGTTCTGCTTGATAGTTTGCATTACTACCCATGTTACTAAATCTGATTTGTTTTGTCTATTAGTGATGAATTTGAGATGGGTACTTGTTATTTCAGCTAACTTAATGAAAACGAAAGTTGGGTAATCTTCTTTTGCCTGTTTAGTTTTCTGAAGGTAGTGATGCAATTAATATTAATTGAAGAAAACCAAATGAACCAAGCTTTTGTTCTTTTGTAACGCTTCTGCCCTATAAGAGTTTGGGAAAGTGGATAACTTGAATGCTGGGTAAATTGGAAAGTGTATGGAATCTTTTAGACCAGATAAGTGGGAATAGAGAAAAGATTTGTATCTGGGATGTCGATTAGTAATTACCGAAAGTTAAACTAGTCGCTTGTGTTATGCTTGTACAGATGGCTTCTGTTGTGTAATACTCAAATAAACCGTGTAAGATGAGTAGGAATACTAATTGAGATCGAATTTATACAGGAATTTTGATGACGGGTTTCCAAACATATTTATAAACAATGCACAAGATCTTCGAGGCCAACATGTTGCCTTTCTGGGATCCTTCAGCTCCCAAGGAGTTATCTTTGAGCAGCTTTCTGTAATATATGCACTGCCTCGACTATTCGTTGCGTCCTTCACATTAGTATTGCCTTTCTTTCCAACTGGTTCCTTCGAAAGAATGGAAGAAGAAGGGGATGTAGCAACTGCGTTTACCATGGCGAGAATGCTGTCAAATATTCCCATATCCAGAGGTGGCCCAACCAGTTTAGTCATCTATGACATCCATGCTTTACAGGTTTGTTCAGTTATGCTGGTTTTTTCGTCTTCTCTTTGTTCTCATGCATGAGCTTTTGAATTTTTAATATAATTAAACTTGTCATTTTTTTTACATTTTCTGACACAAATTCTTCTATCAAGTTGTTTGTACGTATAGATTCTATAATTTATACATATTTGTTTCATTGAGGTGTAATATAGTAGTGTGAGACTGTAAATTATCGCTTTCATTACTTTTTTTTTGGCTGAATATTTGTGTTAATTACTTCAGTTTAATTTTTATGCAGGAAAGGTTTTATTTTGGGGACCATGTTTTGCCTTTGTTTGAGACTGGAATTCCACTCTTAAAGCAGCGTCTCCACCAGCTTTCTGACTCCGATAAGGTGAGCATGCGCATTATCTTCCATGCGTCTCACAATGCTTCATTACAGTAAATTTTGTTTGGTTTCCATGCCTTATCTAGGAATGCTGGCTAACTAGCTGTATTTTCTGTACTTTTTTATATTTCCATACTAACTGTAGTCTGCTTCCAGATAGTTGTTGCATTTCCTGATGATGGAGCATGGAAGCGATTCCACAAGCAGTTGGATCATTTTCCCATGGTTAGTCTGAGTTTCTCTCAAAAGTGAGAATTATTTTGTATAATTTATTTCAAATATCACCTTTGTGAATTGGATATTGTTTAATTGCAGGTGGTGTGCAATAAGGTTCGTGAAGGTGACAAGAGGATAGTTCGGATAAAGGAGGGAAATCCTGCTGGTTGTCATGTAGTCATCGTTGATGACTTAGTGCAATCTGGCGGCACCCTAATTGAGTGCCAGGTAATGGCTCATAAACATTTTTCTTCCCTGCAGTTTATGTACCTTCAAATCTGTTGCTTCCGAATTTTGACAAGTTTAAGTTCTTTCAACATTGCAATTCCTCAGTTACTAGAATATGGCTAGCTTTATTTTATCGAGCTTGGACTAGATCATGGACCTTGCGCATGGCTTTGTTTTTTCGAAATTATTTGTGATTACTTCTCGTAGCTTTGTATCTGTTATCGTTATGTGTACGTCAGATACATTTCAAAATGTGATGCTTTCGGAACTTTAAATTTGCCTCAAATCATTCATTTTGTGTCCTTCGTATTCTGGCAGAAAGTTTTGGCAGCTCATGGTGCAGCCAAGGTTAGCGCTTATGTAACCCACGGTGTATTTCCTAAACGCTCATGGGAGCGGTTCACTCACAAGGATGGTAAGTACCTCCATGCTGTTGTCTATGTCGTGCTTGTAATTTCCATGAACCTTATTCCGATCCTGATTTGATATTCAGATGGCTTGGAGAAGGCATTTGCCTACTTTTGGATCACGGATTCCTGCCCTCTCACCGTCAAAGCCGTAGCTAATAAAGCTCCCTTCGAGGTGTTAAGTCTTGCAGGTTCCATTGCTGATGCTCTACAGACTTGAAGAGAGAAATAGTTCGATAACTTGCATAATCCATGACAGCATTATTCTACCGGCCAATTTCTGCGATATAAGAAGGCGAGTCCACCTTTTATTTTGCTAATGAGTCTCGACACATGGCTGATACAATTTGGTATATAATTCAGCTTAAAAGTATGTTCGCAAACACATTAGTTGACTTCAGGGTCACGCCCATTTTCTCTCTCCACACGCCCTTGTTTATTTTTGGCTTTCGGATTAAAGCAATTAAAAGAGAATTACAAGCCAGTGGCGACGCAAAATGCGCCTTGCATGACACATTAAACTTGTAACGTGACGCGCATATGATGCATTTGTTCGATTTAAATGTAGTGTGCTCACTGCTCATGGCACAAAACATGCATTGTCTGCTTATGTACTGTGCTCACTGCTCATGGCACAAAACATGCATTGTCTGCTTCGAATGAATCGTGCTCCCCAGTGCCATGTTTTGTGGCAGTCCAACATCTTTTAAAGGTACTTCGGCCAGCATTCTCTTTGAGAATCACACCCGGCACTGGATTTTCGGATTGCTCCGATGCACAGGATACACCGAGGTTTTTGGCCATCAGATCTTTAGTCTAAGAATTCAATGATCAATATCTGGGTGCATAGAATAAACCGGAGTATACTTTTAACTTGTGAGCGGGCACATAAATTTGTACAAGCACATGAGAGATATATAAACATCTGTACATCCATGTATTTACGTAATCCAGTACAAAGTTTTTCGGGTACATAACAAGACCAACGCATATGAACAAGCTGATTCTGTTTGTCCTCCCGCTATACAAACTTCTTTCATTTTTTTTGTTCGTTTTAAACAGCACCTGAATCCCTAAACCCGACAAGGCATTTCACCATGTAAACACGTAAATCGTATTTGCAAATAGGATTTGAAAGGCTCAGGACGTTACCCTTAAAAAAAGGGCAAAAACCGAAGGGAGAGATTCTGCAGAAACCTGTTGAGTAATGCATATGGCTGCAGAGAGACTTCACAATTCAGCGATATGCTTCACCTTATTCGACTCCCTTGGTTGAATAACAATTTGCACCTCTACAAATTAACTAAATGCTCTAGGCCGCTTTCACTTCAATAAGTTCCTCAGTAAATATCAGAGGTATCCAGCACTCAAAAGCAGACACTAGCCATAATTTAGTTATTATACGCCCCGTAGCTTGACTTCTTTCTCTACACTGTACACTTAACTATGCACAAGTTAGCAGCCCTACCCCCTGATCAGGCGAGTAAGTTATAACGATACGCTGTTAACTGTTCTCTGGCTTCTCATCCAGATCCCCCTTTGGGCTGTCCAATGAGTCTCCTGAGTAAGATCCATCTGGCTGCCGAATACATATGTTCAAATTTCTGGAAAGGTAATTTTCCTGGAGGATTGACAAACATACTGAAATCAACAGAAAACAATACACGGTATTCGAATGACTTAGCAGAGTCAATGTTGAGGTCGAATTATGAAAATTAACCACACAAAAAAGACAGATAAATCCAACATATAACCTGGTCAGTAGTCTCTTGGCCTTCCGAGTGGAAGAGAATGGGCCGGCAACGCTTGTCCTCATTCATTAGGCTTGAATTCTGAAAATGAGTCACCAGGGCAGTTTTGCCCTGGATTCGTGCATATGCCAATGAAGCAACTTTTTCACTGTTAAACTTCTCCCACTTTTTCCCATTAAATGCCTGCAGCAATTTTAATTGTACAAGTACTTGTAAAAATTGAACGTGTTCCAAATAGTTTTAACTCTGATTGATGAATTTATAAAGCATTCTCGTATTAACGGTTAAATATTTGGATATAGTTCTTGGGATTGACCAGCAACAAACAAACGGACAAAAATAACCAAAACTGACCTCATAAAAGGCTATAATGTGGGTAGGAGACACCATATTTATGAAGGCATACCCCACATTGCACTTATTCTGCCAAAAAAAAAAAAGAAGTTTGTTCCACTAGCATCAACTTGCAGAAATTATAGAGCAATCACATCAGTATTAGTGCAAAGAATTACCTTAAAGTCAATTGGCAAGTAGAGAAAGTCGTATGTACCACAGTGGCTTTCATCAATAGCAGCCAGCAACATTTTGGAAGTGTACCTAATATGAGAAAGACAATATAGAGCAAAATGATTACAGGTATTCAAAACCATAACCCACCAAAAAAACAGCTGCACACATCTACTTTTGAGGCTGATTACAACTTTTACTTACTTGTTCGGGATGTTTTTTATCATTAAAGTAGTCCTAGTATCTTCCCCACTGACAATTTTATCTATATCAAGTTGATACTGCTTTTTGCTATCCATCTGATTCCCAGGATTCTCTATTCGCCGACTTCTACCACGATCAGCCAACATCTCATTGATGGTTGCTGCCGGTCCAGTATATGAACCATTCCCAAGGTACAAAGGACCATGCTTTGGCATTGACATCATTCTGAAACTAGGTGAGCCATTTTCAGTAATGTTTCCGGGAAGACCAACACCAGCACTCAAAGTTGCACGACCACCCATGTTCATCATGTAATTCCCACTGTTGCGACTTAAACCCATGCCCCCAAACGCTGGATTCATGAACGATGTTTCCGGTGAATCTGGGAAAAAACCAAAATGCCTCTCTAGAGGAACACCACCGGATGGAGCAGACCCCACATGATGGTTGTGTGAACCGAGGAAAGAGCCATGCCGGCTGGCCAATGGAAAGCCTTGCCCCTGTCCACTGGATGAAAATGGATGCCCCACAGACGAGGTTGGCCAGGCAGAAGAACTAGGCTCAGCAGAAGGAGATGGAGATGGACTGCCCCAGAGAAACTGAGGACCTGACAAAGTTCCAATCCCTGATGAAGTTGAATTTGACTCACCCAATGAGATGGGACCTGGACTTGCGCTTAATTTCTGCTCTGGATAAGAATGAGAAAGTTGATACGCTGCTCCTTGTGTTGATGGAGAGTTGCTATACATCTGATTTATATGGTTTGCCCTTCCTTGGTCCTTACCAATAGGCGCGATCTTTGGAGAGTTAGAAAAATGAGCTGGGAGAATTGAAGCTAACCCAGGCAAATGGTTACTGTCTGGACTGAGGCTTCCCAGACCCGGAGACTTACTAAAAGCATATTGATTATGCTCAATGGGGCTTCCAATATGTGCCCAGGTACCTGTCATGGTAGCCATTGTTTTAGCTCATAGCTGGATGTTCATTCCAATACCAATACAGTAATCAATATACACAAGCACAAAGATAATTGAATTCCAGATCTGAGAGATCTACCTGGAGGAGAGTTGGTCACAGGTGAACCCACTTGATGCCTGAAACTCCGAGTTTCATCCTGTTCAAGCTCTTGAGTAAGTTGTTGCATCAAGCTACACAAAACAAAAAGTGCGATGAATTAATTATTTACCCCACTTAACGGTTTAACGACAACATCAACATTAAGTCTGTAGTATGGATTCAGAGGGGTTATATGTACAGCACAAAGGAGTTGAAACATAACAGAACAGTGATATCCAATGATCAAAGCCGCATCTAGACAGTCTACATATAGCAGAAGATCTATGTATTAAATAAGCTACATATTGCACCGGACCTCTGTATTGGATGAGTAAACGAAAAAACCTTTGAAAGTATATCCCTGGATATGATTCCAACAGATCTAAGTTCTCATAAACACTTCAGATTAATCTTCACCACAAACTTGTATTTGTTGTGAACCTGATTCCGTACAATAATTGACAGTGCTTGAAGACACGTATAGAGTCATCCACTAAAGGAAAAATATATTCTCTTGGATATAATTGAGTTTTGGAAATACGACTAGTTAATCACAACTGAGATCCAAGAAAACCCTTTTGCCTCGCTATTTGCCACTCTTAGGAAATTACAAAGATGATAAAATTCAGGGCAAAGCAAAATGCCTGAGCTCAAATTGTCTAATTGTTGCAGAACCCGCAGTCAGTAAATTGATACTTACTTTCTACGTGCTCCACCAGGGCGGCTGTGTTCGAGCTTTATGCGTTTCCCAGCTATGTCACTCCTATTTAATGCCCTTAAAGCTGCCTCTGCAGCTCTAACATCATAAAACTCAATGAATTTATGGTGTCTCTTGTGTGGGGTTTCCCGGATCTGCATTTTGTACTCTTGAAAATTCAGATTTTATACAACCAATGAAGACAGCGAAAGGGTGCACAACTGCACATGCAATACAAGGACAATAAGAAAAAGACATATCATTTTCCACAAAAGTTTACCTCTTTGACTTCCCCATAAGCCCCAAATATCTGTCGAAGGTCATCATTTGACACTGATGCATCCAAATTAAACACCACAAGAGTTCCTTGGTTGATATCCTTTTCTGAAGGGTTGTCCTGAATTTCAGCAGAGAAAAGGACAGATGCATTATGAATATTGTAATTGAATCACAAGGGACAGAACAAATTATAATAGAAGACATTTATTCAAACCTTGGGAATTGAAAAATGAATGTCGAGTTTCCTCCGTCTCAAGGGCTTGTTCTGTAATGCACGCATTGCAGTGCGAGCAGCTCGGATGTCATAGTAAGATATCATCACGAAGCCCCTATGCTTGCATGCAGTGTATAAAGTTCTGATATCCCCATATTGCTACAAAAAGTTGAGAGTTCTTTGAATGAGTGAAAAATTATATACATGCATTTACAAGAACTTTTATTTTTAAAGGGGAATAAAATCAGAAAAGCACTGCCAATACCAAATTAAGAGCAAATTCTCCAAAAGATTAGCAAGGGCAGAATGACCAGTGCACCAAATTCATAATCTAAAAAAAGACTGCAGCAAAGAACTTCCCACTGACAAGAATGTTGGCACAGGCTTAAAATTATCTCTAATGAATAATCGGAGTACATTACTCCGAAATGTAGCAGATTGAGGTCTCTAACATTAACAGGATTGTTATTAAATTACTAAACCCAAATCCTACTTGTATTAGTCAATGAGTTCGCTAGTGCAAGTTACAACAATATGGACCAAGAAGACAAAGAGAACCAAAATGGAACTCCAAAACCCCCAACTCAACAACCGGAAAGAAAACAAATCATCATTGAACCAACACATAGAAAAAACAAGCCAGTCAAAGAGGCCATATAAAACTGACAACCACAGTAGCATACCTCAAATAGAGTTCTCAATTCAGAGTCCTCGACATTACTGTTGATATTTCTAACAAACAAGGTTCTAGATGGATGCTCTCCATACGGGTGCTCCCCAGCCACAGCTCCCACACCGTTTGGAAGGACATAAAGACCAATTCCATTTGGAACAACCCCATCAGATATGCCTAGTTTTGACATGCCAATACTGATGCTATCCTGGGACTCAGAATCCAATTCCATTCCACCTCCACTTCCAAACAGATCGTACTCTTCCATCTCCTCCAGCTGATTAGGCAATCGACTTAGATCAAAATCATCCATTATGCCTGCTAAGAGATCATCTTCATCATCAGGAAGCATGACCCTGAATGCATTTGATTCATCATTTTCAAGTGGATCCTTAACCTCATTTTCTTGCTCAACATTGCTTGATTTGGGTAAACTATCATCAACAGACTGACCAAAATGCTCCGAAACAGAAAAGTTCACTGCATATTCGGTAAATCAAGTCTCAACATTCTACAGATAGGGATAACGTTTTCATTCAAAAAAATAACTTGCACGTACACTTTTCATGTGGAAGGACAGGTAACGAACTCGAAAACAAGCTAGTATCACTTGATTCATGGTATGCCTCAGTTGCACGAAGGGTCCCCCATGCTTTACTTTCAGATTTTCTAGGATTGTTAGCAGATGGAATCTTGAAGGCCCCTACAAAATTGGTTATAAATGACTGATCAAGAGAAACATCCAGCATCCATAAGGAAATATATGTATATAGCATATGTACGTGGCTATGCTCCTGTGCAATGCTTCCATCAGTAAAGAAAAGAGAGGGAACCTTCAGAATGACCAAATATCGTATCCCCTAAATGTTTCTCCATTGAACCACTTTCTGAAAAAACAAGGGAAGTAAATATATAACGTTCAGTTATTACCAAACTCTCAAAATGTATTTTGCTAGTTCAGAAAACATGCATACGTAGATGCAGATACCTCACATGTATCCAAAAATATTAACGAACAAATAATACAGACAGAACTCAATATGGTGCAAAAAATAAAAACAAAGAAAGTTGTGAAGTTTATCCTGAGTTCAAGTGCATGGTTAAAAACGTCGTTTGGGTGACTATACAAGGTAAAGGTAGTCCTGAATCCCAATCATGTTGCTCCGCATATTTCATTATCGTGCTCTGTATGTTTCATTAGGATTTTAACATAATTTATAGCTAACTTAACAACTCCAAAAGCAAAGACTTTAGCTAAGTTCCACAGTGTTTCTATAGTTGTGAGTCAACAGAGCAATCAACATAATGTGACTCACCACGTACAGAAACTGGAAAGCATCAATAACTGATCTTCATTTTAACCAAGAAAAAACAGAAGAGCATCAGAATATGTACACATATATGTCAGAACTATCATACTTGGAGAGGCAAATGAGTACACTCACAAATTTATAAATAAAAAAATCTGCGAACAAGTATACAGACAAATTTATGCAGGAAGAATATAATCAAAGGACTAAGTATTCAGCAGCACTAAAATCAAACATCCACCAGAATTGCCGACGATCGGATGGACTGATATCGCTACAGATTTCTCTACCATTATCAACAGGGTCTATCAGAACCCATGCAAGTTTTCGAATTGATGGGGGTCAAATACTATCAGCTTGACAGATTGCCCAAAAAATAAAATGATAAGTCAAACATGATCAAATTGTTTGCAAATTAAGATGAAAGAAACAGAAAAAGTAGCTCAAAAACCCAACTGGGTAACAAGTAAGCGAAGTTCCCAACTCAAATTTAGCATGCAAATTCAACAAATGGCCTTAAATGTTGAAACTTTCTCTACACCTACCTACTTCAGAACCCAAAATTAGCTCCAAATTACCCAACTTTCCCTCAATAGCAAACTAAATTCACAAAAAGTAGAAAAACCCACATGCAATATCATCACCCAATCACATGCAAAAATCCCAAAACTTCAAAAAAATCGAACGAACGAAAAACCCAAATTCGAATTACCTCAATCAATTCCGAAAAGGGGAAAGAATAGAGAAAATTGAAAGAGTGTAGGGAGAGAGAGAGAGAGTAGAACAAAAATAGCAGTTAGAGAGAGTCCATTGGAGTTGGGTTATCTGGCATACTGAATTCGAGAGCTCTTTGTCATGATCATGGAATTCTAGAAATAGAAAGAGAGGAGAGGAGAGGAGAGAGAGGGTCTATGCGCGTGAGAGTTTCGTAGAAGCAGAGATATTTGTTTCGTCTACTCCTCTACTTCCTTCTCTCTCGCCGGGAAACCAGAGCGAAAATGTAAGAAAATTGCTTCTCAGAAGAAAATCCAAAATTGCAACACCACAAACTCCAAAATTATATTAAAATTTGGGGGAAAAAATGGAAAAAAAAAAGAGTCAAATGATTGGAGGCAAGTAGCACTGGCAGCAGCAGAATTACAAAATTATTATATATATATTTTTTTTTACTATTATTTTTCAGACACTCACACACAAACCATCACCAAAACACAAAGCTCTCTCTCTCTATCTCTCTCTCTCTCTCTCTCTCTCCTCTTTTACTCTCTCTATCTCTCTCCTCAACCAGAAATTCGGCTGCGTTTGAATCTCATTTGGCGTCCGTTGACACGAAGCTTTTGAGAGATGTGACACGCCACACTCCAAGTCCTTTACAAATTTCAGATAATTTCGCGGGGGTCTTTGACCCTCGTTCCAGCTGGAATTACGCAACTGCCATGCTTTCCCTCTCCTTTCGGTGCTACGTGGTACTTTATGATTAGATAGGGCGCCGGGTTGCCCAATGGGAGGGGGATTGGAGGGAGGTTTCGGGGGTGGTGGATGCAGGGGATTATTGTATCACTTTAAGTGATGGGGTAGCTGACGTGTCGTTGCGTCGACGACAGAGTCGGGTTCCACTATTTTTCTACGGTATGGCATGATGGAATATACTAGAGCCATTTGGTAGGGGCCACGTGTTTTTGTCGTGGGTCGACTTTATCCGAGCCTCCGAGAACGGGTTGGACCCAACCCGCTGCACCTTATGGGCTGGCCCTTTTAATAGGCACGAACATGGGCTGGGCATGCCTTAGTTCATTTGAGTATTTGAAACAAAAATAAAAATGAAATAGTGTTTATGTTTGTAAGGAAATTCATGCTGTAATTATATGATTCTATTTGATTAAATGTTGAATTAATTTTGTTAGTGGTGCATTGCATATATACTCATTAGACATCTTTTACTTGTTTTTTTTCCAATTCTCATTTTACTGCCCTCAACCTCAAGTATTGTGAAATTTACATTTTGCTATTCTTAGTTTTTTTCGTCTCACTTTCATACCTAAAGTTAAGATTTGCTCTCAAGTCTCAAAAAATTTAAAAGGAGCGTTTTGATATAGGCGGCTTGTTTTTTAATTTTTTTAGACTAAACATACACTCTTTTGAAATTTTGATCAAACATTTTCCTAAAATTTTGGTTATTAATTTCAGTTTTTCACATAAGTTCAATTTTGTTTAGAATTTAGCTTTTCATGACTTTTCCTAGACATTTCGTTTTCATTTTCTTTTTCTTTTCCTCTTATCCCTATATTTATGCATTTATTATCCATCTCTATACATTTTTTTATTGTTTGTTATAATTGTACTTTTTTTTTTGTGAATATAGTAGAATAGTATATAAAAAAAATTGTCAGATTTTATTATTTAGAAGACCCAACACATAATAAAGATTTGTTTGATTATATGGCTACGTCTAGTTTCCTATAATATGGACACATTTAGTTGTATAGTGGATTTGATTTTGTGTATTTCTCAGTACATTTGGAATGTAAATGTACCAAAAGGGTTATTTGACAGAGACATTTGGTTTTGTGGTACATTTGTGATTTTTTGTTCATTTGGTCTTTTGGTACATTCAGAATCTAAACGTACCAAAAGGGTTACCTGACAATGGGCACATTTGGTTTTATGGTATATTTGAAATTTTGGTACATTTGGTTTCTATGTACATTTGAAATCTAAACGTACCAAAAGAGTTACATAACAATGGGTACATTTGGTTTTATGGTACATTTGGTTTCTCGGTACAATTGAAATCTAAACGTACCAAAAGTCGATACTTTTGTTCTCAAATGTACCATAAGTTTTAAGGAAAACTAATGAAAAAGGCTTGAAAACTTTGAGTTTTAATGATAAAAACAAAATAAAGGGTAAAGTGAATAGTACCATGATTGAATTTTTAGTGTAAAAATGTGGTTTTTCGTTAAAGTAAACAGTACCGTGGGCTTTTCGTTAAAACTCCCTAAGTTTTAATTATATTTTTTATATATTCATACGTGAAAAAATATGTATTGAAGACTTTTATTGAGACATTGTCAATAGAAAGAGAAATTTTTTTTTTTTTTAAATACTGATAATAAGGTAATGAGGAATTGGTTAATTAATTTTTTATTTTATTTTATTACAAAAATGTCATTTAATGCATAGAAGGGGATTGATGAAATTAAATTCCTATATTATATGTAATTAGTTGATAAGCTACCTGTTTGGGCCCGAAATAATATTGTTGGGCCGAGCAGAAGGTTATGCTCGGCCCAAGGCTGCATCAAATACTATGGGCCGAGTGGTAAAATCCGAGCCGGTTAACAGGGTCAGTCGAGTCCTATCCTAAGAAGGAGTAGTCCAGATAAACAGAAAGGGTCGAGGAAGTCTTGGTGCAACCAGGATTCCCAGCCGGCAGAGAAGAAAGCCTCGGAAGAGGGGAAAATTCAAAGTCCTAATGGGGGTAGGTTTGTTCGAAGTGAAGTTGGAACAGGACAAAGACTCCGAATCCAGATAAGGTGCGAGTTGGTCTCAAGGAATGGGGGCTATAAATACAAGAAATCATGCAATGCAGAGGACCTTCGATTCAACATACAATTGCCCTGCGCAAAGCCTCTCATACTTCTTGAGATTTTTTCCTTTTCTCTTCCGCCAACACACCTTCAGTTTGGATAAACAGTACTGTGGAGGCACCCGGCGAACACCTTCAGTTTGGATAAACAATCATTGTTGCCGTAGAATCAGCCGACCGAGAAGCACCTTCAGTTTGGATAAACAGCACTGCGTCAAGGCCGACTGGTTACCTATCTAAGTCTTGGCCGAGAAGGGTTTTCAAACCCTTGTTGGTAGAGGTCACCTTGCTAGCCTTCTCGACATAGTAAGGTGTTACGAATTACGTTATTCGGCGTACTGGACGCCGAGTGATTTTATGATTGGATACTCACAATTGAGTTTCAGAGTTCGGCATTCCGACGGCCGAACTACATTCACCATCAAGACATACATCACATTTGAGTACCTGTGTCCATATAGTTTGGTGTCGATTCGACGTGCCTATACTCTTACGAATATAATCACAGTGACCGAATTGGGCGCCGACGATTTGTGAACTTCGCAGAATTAGTAGCCTTGTCTTCAGGCTCTAGAACCCAAAAACCGAGAGCGTTCCTTCCTAGGTCGCAGTCGCAAGATAAAGAAGTCAACAACGCGCTCAACGCAACATCAACGAATTTTACTCCTCAGCCGACGAGTTGGCACGCCCCGCATTCAACCGAAGGACGTAGTTAGCTTATTAGTTACTCGGCCTGCGTGCCACGTAGGTTTTGTAATTTTTAGGGTTAACACTACCTTATTCCTCTATATAAGTGCATTTAAATTAATGACATGGAAATTAAATAAATAGAAAATTATTGAGGTGGCAATTAATCAAAGAACCTTAATCAAATCTTTAAAAGTGATGAATGTTTAATTTAACAACTATATAAAAGATGTAGGCATTCTAATTCAAATTAATCCTTTTTTTTTTTTTTGAAAAGTTAAATAGTAAAATACAGGATAAAAATATAAATTCTCTCAACCACTTCCATCTCCACCCGTGCAACCTCTTACATATCATCCCCATCAACCCACTCTAAATCTACACCAATGCAACCCCCTCTATCTTTATTCCAATAGGTACTCCACTTACCCTCATCCATCTACGTGTCAAACATGTTCGTGTGGCTTATCTCTGTCGTGCTGTAAAAAACACTACAAGTATGAATTGATTAGTTTTTTATGATTTTAGAATTTTTTGTGGAGTTAAAGGCATGTCACGTCATCGTTTAACAGTTGACTTAACGGTTAAGTAACCGAAGTATGATTTTGGAAACAAATTGTAACTTTAGGTATGAAGTGAGTTGAAAAAAAAAAAAAAAAAAAAACTAAGGGTAGCAAAGTACGAATTTCATGATAATTGAGGGTAATAAAGTGAGGATTACCCTTTATTTTATTTTTATTTTTTACTAAAATAAGTATAAATGCGAGACAGAAAGATGTACTCAAAAGTCTTGAGTTTGACACTCTTGGCTAAATTGCTTCAAGCCAAATACTATCATTCTTCGTCTTTTTTAGAAGCGTCAGTGGGAAGGGGAACTTCATAGGGCTGGAAGGGAATTTTGCAGGGGAGGAAAGTGTTGGTTGGCATACGATAGAGGGTTGGAGATGGGAAGAGTATCCAGATTGTGAAGGACCTATGGTTGCCTACGCCGCATACGTTTCAGGCTATTTTGAGACATGAGAGCATCTCCAAAGGAGATGTCAAATTTTAAACATAAAATTTGAATTTGACAGCCTATGTGGTATTTTGACATCTTTCAAAATTTTGCTCTCCACTCGGTATGTCAAATTAAATATTATTTTATTACGCTATTTTTTTTCTTTTATTTTATTAAACTATTATTTTATTACCCATTTCGACATCTTTCAAAACCCCCGGATTTCCTCACTTCACTCCTTCAGGCATGGAAGCTCTGCAAGCTTCCCTCCCGCAAGTCCCTCACACCCAATTCGAACCTGACACTAATACAATCAAACGCAACCTCCGAGAACAGTGCGATGTACGACATAGAGAAGCTGAAGAATGAGGAGTCTTTCTTATATCTGGCTTCTGCGTTTGACTTTTTGCTTTTCTTCTCTCTGTTCTCTCTCTAGTTTTCCAAAATTTAAGCTTCAGTCTTTCTAGCTTCTTCGTTTTCCTTCAGCGTTTCCCATAAAAAAATTAATAAAAAAATATTTGAAGTTGCTGTCAAATTTGACAGTAATCTCTTTGCTGCCAATCCATGTCAAGCACCACATAGGAATTGGCATTTCGGTTGGAGAATATTAGTGTAGTCTTTTATTACTATTATAACTTATGTGGACATTTTGACATCTCCTTTGGAGATGCTCTAAGGAGATGCCTAGAATGGTTGCCGACATTGTGGTCCTTGGGGTAAATGGAAGAGGGATATTATTGAGAGGTGTTTCAATGATGAGGAAGCTCGTATTATATTATGTATGCCGCTTAGCCAATTTGGATGTCCTGATCGTATTATTTGGCATTACACTCGGAATTGGGTGTATTCAATTAAATCAGGGTATATGATGGCTCAAGAGATAAATCGGAATAGGGAGCTTGGATGGAAATGTGTGGGACAATCAAGTAGGGCAGACACTAAGGATCCGGTCTGGATGGTATTATGGCAGTTAAAGGTTCCTCCTAAGTTTTGCCATTTCGTTTGGAAGGGGTGCAAGAATATC